GGTTTCTGGGGGATCTCAGGGCGTTGTTTCTTTGTTTGCATATCTTTACGGAGGGTTAAATGAACGGATGTGTGACAAACAGGGAGGGGATTTTTGCCGCGACCCCGGGGAAATCAGGTTGTTGATAATGATTATGAATGTTGATTGTGACCTTGATTATCATGATTATGATTGTAAAGGAGCCTGTAATCGTAATATTTAAATTAATAGCGATTTTTTTCAGGATTTAAGCATAAATGCCCCGAGAATGTATGCATTTTGTTAATTTTGCAGGTTAATTTGCGAGGTGAACGGTTGTGGGAGGAAGGCAGCAAAGCCGCAGCGAAGGCACAGCACGATGGAATCAAAAGAGCCTGGTAAGAGAGGGGGCTTTTTCATGGTGGCACAGTTTTCGCCCCTTTTTTTTCATTAGAACATTTGCCAAGAGTATAAGCTGATCCAGAGGGAGGAGCTTTTGCTCTCCCCCACCCCTCTCCTCTCCAGCTGCACAGACACCAGTGCTGCAAAAGTCCGGGTCTAAAGCTAAGCCGATTGTAGCAACCATGTTGATCTAGGGTGCCAAAGTAAGAAAGGTGTATAAGCAGGGGAAAAATAGTAGGAAAAAACAATTGAGTTAAGACGTTTCGGTCCATCAAGTCATATACGTCTTAGCTTAACACCGCGACTGGACCTCGTCAGTATGACGGTCGTGATGTTCAGGGAAGAGAAGGAAAAGGAGGGAATGCAAGAAAGAAGGAGAAAAGGTGAAAAAAAAGAGGGAAAAAGAAGGGGAAGAAGAGGAGAAAGAATTGAGTTTATTAATTATAAATTTAGAATAGTAAGGAGGGATAAAAAACGTTGTAATACAAAAATAGAACCTCGATGGACGTTCTGTGGCTATAACTAAAGTAACTTTAAACTAAAGTAACTCTCTAAGTAGCAGTGTGTTACAACTCTATTCCTAGTTTTTGCATAGTTCCACGGTGGAAGGGACTCTTCTCCCCACCCTCCGTCGTTTCCCACTCCCTCAGAAGTCCATCTTGGACCAACCTACGGTCAGAAAAATGACAAGAGAGAACAAATGGCGACCTAGAATTTACCAACTGTAATAGGACCCAAGAAGCAGATATTCAAAAAGTGTCGTACATTCGTGGAATATTTTGATCAAATCGATCACTCATGGTCTTTTTAAAAAAAATAAAGCCGCCGCGTGCTGTGGAATTCGTCGAGTTACTTCGGCCAGCGCTGCTGCTGGAGATTAGTTTGCTGACGATCCTGACGTTCGTTTCGTTTAGGGCGATTATGATGAGCCCATCGTTTCTCCATACAGACAGGTGCTGGTGACATAGGCGGATCCAGGATGGATTTCCGGGGGAAGGGGTAACGCCGAGTAGGGGGAGAGCTCCCTTCCACCCAGGAACTATGCAAAAACTAGGAATAGAGTTGTAACTCACTGCTACTTACAGTTACTTTAGTTTTATTTATGGACAGACCCGGACTTTTGCAACACTGGTGCCTGTGCCACTGAGGAGAAATGGGGGGGGGGGAGGAAGACCATGGCTGGTGATGTTCAGAACACACAAAATTCTCGAAAATCTGTACCAATTGCGAGGCCTTGGTGTGTGTGCTGAACATTACCACCGCTTCTCAAACTTTGCCATTTCTAGGCCTCTCAAAAGAAGTGGCAAATTTCTGGATGCACTGAAATACCAGGGAAAATACTTTACCATATTTGTTGTGGAACTTAGAAAACTTGGATACTTAGCTCAGTTATAATTCGTAATTTGCTTCCCCATCGATGAAATTGGGAAATTTCCTTAATTGCTGCATTATCTTTGGATCAGCTTCTGCTGATCCTGACGTTGGTTTCATCTCCTGAAGGGATTACTCTCTCGAAGAAGCAGTTGGCGAAGCTTCAGCTGTTTTTTAGATTTTCTTAGCTTATGCCGAGCGGCACTGCCTCATCCCTTGCGATATCACTGCTAGACCACGATAAAGCATCCGCTTTGGAAGTGACGAAATTATCAAATTCGAAGAAATCCAAAAAATAAAGAGAAAGAGGAAACAAAGCACTACCAAAAAAAAAGAAAAAAATCAAAGTATAAATTCTAAGGGGTTTTTTTTACAGTCTATGGTGGATGCGAAGGGCCGGATGCAATGTATGTGAAGCTGATCAGTAGTGACGGGCATGAATTCATCATCAAAAAGGATCTTGCACTGACATCAGGCACAATCAAAGCTATGCTTTCGGGACCTGGCACATATGCCGAGAATGAATCCAACGAAGTGAACTTCAGAGAAATACCGTAAGTTTGCCGATCTGAACCCTGGAACTTG